TGAAGGTTAATCTGCTTCTATTTCCTTCAGAGAAAATCAAAGGGAGTGTGAGACTCAAGACTTCATACAATTCTATTGACGTAGAGATTGCCTGGAATGTAGTCAGTTTCCAGAGAAAGAAATGCAAAGGATTATTCATCTGAGAAAAGTGGATCAATTAGGGATTCTTATGTGCAAATTACAAAAGACCAAACTTAACTGGCTTAAATAGCAGATTATTGCTTTATAGCTGAGATGTTTAGCAGGAGATCTGGCCTCAAGTGAGGCCAGATCAAGAGACTCCAGTGATATCAACAAGAGCTTTCTTTAGTATTGACTTTATTTTCAACTCTCACCTGGGGCTCTCTGGCAGCTCCAGACTCCCACTTATGGTAGCCAATTGGCTGTGGTAGCTGCAGGCTCTATATTCTTTTTTTTTTTTTTTTTAAACAAATTATTATTTAAAGACAAGGTCTTGCTATGTTGCCCAGGCAGGACTCAAACCCCTGGGCTCAGGCATCCCTCCTGCCTCAGCCCCTGAGATGCTTGGATTACAGGCTTAATCCTGGTGAGGCCCCGTCTTCATATTCAACACTTTCCAGGTGAAGAGAGAGGGTGTCTTCTAGAGACTATTCACAAGTCTCTGATTGTTTCTGTCTTATTGGCCTGAATTGGGTCATGGATGCTTTTCTGAAACAATCATCACTGTTCAGAAGAATGGTTTAAGCCAGTGGTCCTTAACCTTTTTGGCACCAGGGACTGGCTTTGTGGGAGACAATTTTTCCATGGACTGGGGCAGGAGGATGATTTCTGGGTGATTCAAATGCATTACATTTATTGGGTACTTTATTATTATTACATTGTAATATGTAATGAAATAATTATACAACTCACCATAATGTAGAATCAGTGGGAGCCCTGAGTTTGTTTTCCTGCAACTAGACGGTCCCATCTGGGGGTGATGGGAGACAGCGACAGATCATCAGGCATTAGATTCTCATAAGGAACACACAACCTAGATCCCTCCCATGTGCGGTTCACAGTAGGGTTGATGCTTCTATGAGACTTTAATATCACTGCTGATCTGACAGGAGGTGATGCTCAGGTGGTAATAGGAGCAATGGGGAGCAGCTGTAAATACAGATGAAACTTGGCTCACTTGCTCTCTGCTCACCTCCTGCTGTGCAGCTTTGTTCTATCAGGCCACAGACTCATACCAGTTTGAATCTGGGATGGTATTAGGAAGGGAAATGGATGCTAGGCAGCCAGTACATAATAACCGTCCACTGGAATAATCAACTGTTTATTTATGGAGTACCTCACACACGTCAGAATGGTTCTAAACATTTTACATGCACCAACTCATTTAATCCTAATAGAAGCCATATGAGGTACCAATATTTTTTCCATCCCAAGGTTGAGGCAGCAGAGGCAGACAGAGACCAAGTAAGTGGCTCATTTGGTAAGCGGAAGTGAAGGGATTGCGGCCGAGCAGTCTGCACCCTCCAAAGCTCTGCTCACAACACTGTCCCATCGTTTTTACCAGACTCAGGCTGGAAACTACAAGTTGTTCTCTGCATAATCATTTCCCTAATACTATTTGCTCTAAACTGTATTTTCCCTTGAGATGCTTTTGAAAGAAGATGATGTTCCCATATTGCTCTAGATCATTCTACTTGGTTGAAAGCTTTTGGGTAGTTTCTTAATACTTCCATGCTTTTAGGAATGCATGAGAAAGACAACCACTTTTTGCTGAAAATTACTCTTAAATTGCACTTATCTCTGCATTATAAATATTTACTTTCTGTTGGTGCATTGGATCTGTGTTCCTAGTTCCTAGTCTTTTGTCTGTAATCTTTTACTAGCAGTGTGGCTAGCATCGTTTTTCCTCCCCGAGAGGTTTTGAAGAGGCAGAGTAGAAAGATTTGTAGAAGGGAAAGCAGGTTGGTGGGAAGATATCTATGAATCCCTGCTTTCTGATCTCCTTTCCTTCCCTTATATTTCTCCTACCTCTCTTTCTTCCTTTATCTATCTTTCAAACTAACAGTCTTCCCCTTTTTATAAAAGTTTAATATGATTACTTTTTTTTTTTTTTTGTTTTGAGATGGAGTCTTGCTCTGTTGCCCAGGCTGGAGTGTGGAGTGCCGTGGCGCAATCTCAGCTCACTGCAACCTCTGCCTCCTGGATTCAAGTGATTCTCCTGCCTTAGCCTCCTGAGTACCTGAGATTACAGGTGCCCACCACCACGCCTGGTTAATTTTTGTATTTTTAGTAGAGATGGGGTTTTGCTATGATGGCCAGGCTGGCCTCAAACTCCTGACTTTGAGTGATCCGCCTGCCTTGGCCTCCCAAAGTGCTGGGATTACAGGCGTGAGCCACCATGTCTGACCTTAATTTTTTTTAAATGTAGAAGGCACAGATGAGAAAAGGTAAGAAAGATCTCACATGGTCTCGTCTTCCTCTTATCTTTTTGATGTGCTGTTTTGCTTTTCTCACAGATATCAGATGACAACAACAAGCATTTTATAGCATTATTTTCCCTTTGAAAAGACAGCTAGACGGTAACAAAAAGTTAAGTATTTTTTAGCATCATCATTTAAAATAGAGTAAATGTGCTTATTTTATAGATGTGCCATAATTTAACCAATTCCCTGTTTTGGACAATTAAATTTGTTGCTAATAGTTTGATATTGAAACAGCTCTACTCAGGAACATTGTTTGGCTAAATCTTTGCCCACATTATCAATGACTTACTTAGTTTGCTGCGTCAGGACGTGTTCCCTTGGGTAAGTCACACCTGCCTTTCCTCTGTTCGCCTCCCAGGTATGGCAGTCTGCAATGTTCGTATAAAGAGCAACTCATGGTGCCCCTGTGTGCCATCATCAGCACTCCATCTCTTGTGTACTTCTGAAGAAGAGGATGCTATACTTCTCTTTTAGGCCCAGTTCCTTTGTTTCCACCTCTAGCTATGCAGAGATGTCCCATTTAGACATTTTCAGTTTCAGGAGCAGACTCTCAGAATGCTGGAACACGACTGGTATCATTGTTTTTCTGCATATTGATATTGGCAGGGTAATGTGATCTCTTTCCCTGACACGATGCTGTAGATAGTGCTCTGGATGTCCAGCTTGGGGAAGGGCCACATGAGAAATACAACATAGGTACGTAGTAGCTGATCTCTTTGCTCTGTCATTTCCTGGGCCTGCTATGGATCATGCATTATGTTTGGCACTTTACTGGCTTGTAAAATAAATGTAATCTTTAATGCAACCCTGTCAGGGGTATGCTACTTCTGATTTTATTAGAATAATGGCTTAGAGAGGTTAAGCTAGTTTTTCTCAGCTAGAGTCTAAAGCCCAGTTTTCTGATGATTTCTTGTTGCCTTTACAGGTATTTAAACTGGCCAGAGAGACAAGTTCTGCACAAATGAAAATTCAAAAACATTGTATAAGGTATCTCTGCCAGATAGGCTTGTGCTCTGATGAAAAGAGGGAGAAAGCGTGGGCCGTGGCAGCCAGGAGGGTGTCTAATGGTTATCATGCTTGGTATGCAGCACCTTCATGGGCCAAAGGGCATTTGGTTACATAAGATTTTTTTTTTGGATAGAGGAAGTCCAGCAAGCTCACTTGAACCTGCGGAGACAAGGGAGAGCTGAATCCCGAGTCTGAGCCCCATCTGAACTGCAAGCCTGCTGACCAAGGTGCCAGCTATAATCCTTAGCACAACAGCAGCTGTCTATTTGGGGGATTTCCTACGTTTAAGAACCCCAAGTATCTCAGCTACTGAGTGGGCTGGAAACACAAACATTGTCATGACACTTGGCAGTATTTTTCATAGTTGTATATGTCACAATTTCCTCCTACCAAATCAGAGAGTCTGAGGGCCAAATAATTCAGGTGAAGACTGCCCCATAGTACTCAGGGCATACTTGAGGGTCATCTTTCCAGTCTATATTTTTGTACTTTTGAACCCACACTGTGACATTTAAGGTGAACAACAGCAAGATTCTTAAGTCCCTTGTATGTGCAACGTAAACCATGGAGCAAAACCATCCCTTAAACATGGGACCAGGTAAAACATAAGGGACTCTAGACATTGCATATGTCCTTTTTCAGGGCTCGTGAAAAAAAATTGATTGGCTCCATAATTCAAAAAGAAAACATAAAATTAAAGTGAATAAATGTTTAATGCTTCCCCAAGATAACATCATAACATTGAATAGATTTATCAGCTTTAGCTCGTGTATCAACATCACCATGCAATTATGCAAATTGAGGACATGGTTCTGACACATGCAAGTTTCAGTGAACACAGTACAGTAGTCCCCTGATATCTGAGGGGGATTGTTGCAGGATCCTCTCATGCATACCAAAATTTACGGATGCTCAAGTCCCTTATACAAATGGTGTAGTATTACTGTGCAGAATTCAGGACAGCCTGTATGGGTGCATTTTGAAATGTCAAATTCTGTGGTGGAGACGGAGAGGGAGTGTGGCATTCAAAGGAAGGGTGATGCTGCTTGGAATTAAAGTAAAAACAATGCAGGCCTCAAAAAGTCTTCACAACAACATTGAAGATTGCTTCCAAAGTAAAAGTGGACAACAGCTCCAACCCAGTAATTTAATTAATTTTTGCATTTATGAGTACCTATAAGAAATGTAGCATAACATTTAGTTGGACTGAAACTCCAAACTGGGTAAGACACCAAAGAAGATTCAGACTCCTTCCACAATTCCTCTCCTTCCAGCTTTATGAACTTTTTTTTTTTTTAGACCGAGTCTCGTTCTTGTTACCCAGGCTGGAGTGCGAAGACACGATCTTGACTCACTGCAACCTCCCCCTTCTGGTTTCAAGTGATTCTCCTGCCTCAGCCTCCCAAGTAGTTGGGATTATAGATACCCGCCACCATGCCCGGTTAATTTTTGTACTTCTACTAGAGATGGGGGTTTTACCATGTTGGCCAGGGTGGTCTCAAACTCCTGACCTCAGGTGATCTGCCTGCCTTGGCCTCCCAAAGTGCTGGGATTACAGACAGGCAAGAGCCACTGTGCCAGGCATTCTTTACTAACTTTTAACTCTAGGAATTTATTTAATTTCCCTGGGTGTCTGTCTTCTGGATTTTTGTCTGTCAAATGGAGACAATACCCATCTTATAAGCATTGCATGTGGTAATAGTGGTAAAGTACATAGCACTTTACCTGGCATGGAATGTAAGTTCTATAAATGATGTTTAAACTCTCTGCCACCCTACCCTCCAACAAAATAAACAAAAATGATACACATTTTGGTTATGAAAGGATGAGGCTGAATTCATATGTCATCCCTGAAAGCCTGCCTCAAGATTTTAGAGTCTATTCCTCCTGAGGCAAAGGCAGCAGATGGAGGTGCTTACAGCCGGCAGTATATAGCTATTTAAATTCTGGCTCCAAGCATCCGCTTTCCTTTTTCTGGAAAACTATACTGATGACCCCCAGGGGTCATAAAGGAGCCCTTAGGAATGCCGGAGTTGAGTTAACTGACTGGAATGGGATAATGAACTTGTTTGCAGAAACCAGCCAGGCCTGACTTCCTTCTGCTTATTCCATTTGAGTCTAGCCCCAGTTAATGGATCCAAATAGTTTTGGATTTCATTAAACAGAATTATCACTAACTGACATTATGCAGCTTTTAACCTTTTATAAAAACTTCACAAATAGGTCGCTTATTCCTTAATACAATGTGGGATGGGTTAAGAGTGCCCTTAACTCTTCCGGTCACCCTGATGCTTCCTCCCTCCCTTCCATTCACCCCCGTTTTCAGCAGATGCTGTAGTGCCTGAAGGTATGCTCAGAGCCCACTCAGATGCCTGGATCCACCCCACACCCCCAAGGAGCCCCCTTCTAATGGAAGAGAATCTCACACAAGGAAATAGTTTTGATGTGGACCCCTTGAGAGGCAGAGTAATGCAGTGCAGGAGGTTCAGAGATTTGGGGACAGCAAACCTCACTTCAAATCCTGGCTCTCATATTTTCTAGCTATGTAAACTCTGGCAAGTTTTGACTCTCTTGGAACCTTGGTTTTCTCGTTTCTAATTTAAGGTTAATAATAATATCTGCTTTTTAGGGTCCTTAGGAGAATTAAATAAGAACATGTTTGGATGAACAGTGTCTGGTGTATAAGTGCTCAATAAATATTTGCTTTTTAAAAACTTTATAATAGAAGTTCAAACAAACCTTTTGGGAGCCCAGCAAGATAAGCAACAAATACCTTCAGGGGAGGTGAGGAAAGTCACTACATCTGCCTGGAAGCAAAATTCTTTGAACTGGTCTTTTTCCATCCACGAGCACATGACCAAGGAAAGGAAGCTATATTTTTCTTGACTGGGAATTTGAATTTGCAGTTGTACATTCCAAGGGCCTTGGAAGTTCTTTCCAGTTTGGGAAAAGGAGCAGCCAAGGGCACGCATGGAAACACTTACTAATTGTGTGACCTTAGGCAAGTGCCCCTAACCTCACCAAAGATAAAATTCTCCTATCAGTAAAATGGGGATCATAAAATGGAGATAATAATTCTGGCTACCTGCTATGATTGCTGTGGGATTAGGGAAGATGATACACGTGATACATTAGCAGAGTGCCTGGTGCCTAGTAGGTGCCCCTTAAAATTTAGCTATGACTATTCTCTTTAGCCGACACACAGGACTGCCTTGAATGTTCACATTTCCAGAGAAAGGTGCTTGGGAAGATTTCTGAGTGTTCTGCCTGCCAGGTCGTTGCTCACTTCAAGCAGTCAGTTTACAGTTCAAAGAATCCCTTTGTTCAAAGCCTGAGCAAATCCAGGCCTCGTGTATCTGCAGCAATGAAAAAAGGGAGCTTTCTGCCTGATCTTCACCCCAAAGGCAGATTCTCCCTTTTTAAATGCCTGCACACATGTTATTTATTTATTTTTGGTTAACGTTTAAATTGAGGTTTTGGCTGAAACTTAGCCTGTGCGCACTTGAAAAGTCAACAGGCTCATTGGGCAGCCGATAAAGCTCTTGGGATTTCCCCGCGGGGCTGCGGAGAGTACAGACAGGAAGCCTGGGGACCCAGCGCCTGACCAGAGCTTCCTCGGGGGAGGATGCAGGGGAGCAGGCGCATCCTGCACAGAACACTCTAGAGCGCGCAGGCCAAATCAGCAGCCTGCTCCCGACACGTGCTGCAAGAGGGTGCCCTACCCGGAGGACCGGACCCTGTGGGCATGAAGGGGGAGGTGGAAGCTTCCCCCTCAGCCCTCCCCCCTGGAGAGAGGCTGACACTGCCAGGCTGGAACCTTCCATTCTGGCCCAGCCTCTTCCTCCCTCGCTGTGCCGAGGGATCTAGAAGGGACTTTCCAGAGAGGGTTAGCGTGCAGGGTGTGGAAATGGAATAAAAGCATATGCAAATAGGCCTTAGCTGCCTTCCTCTACCCTAGCGAATAAGAGTCTTTCTCCAGAAAGATGCTCTTTCTCCAAGACGCTTGACCGCTTTTCCTTCCCTGGATGGCAGCAGCAGGGCCGATTGGAGTGGTAAACCCTGGGGCGGAAGCCATGCCAAAGGGGTGGGCAGGATGGACAGGAGACAGTAGCACCATGAGGAGGGGGAGAGCAGCAGCTGACTTGGAAATGATGAAATAAAATGAAATGTTAAGAGCTCGCTGTGAGTATGAGCTGGGAAACAATAATCATTGCAAGCTGATTTATTATGTACTTATCTTCTGTCTGAGAGGCAGAAGGCTTTTGTACAGTGGATTATTGCAAAGTAAATGGCACATTAAAGATATAATCAAGATGTTTAAGGCATATTGAAATGACATTAGAATTAAAGTAGGTGAGACTTTTGTCATGGTCTAGAAATATAAAAATGTCAGTGACTTGGAGAGATTTCCAGTGCTTTAGTAAAGATGCGGCTTCATTTCCAAAAGGGATATATTTTTAACCTTTTGTTATTTTCAGGGTGGGGTGGGATAGAGTGGGGTCAGGAAGTGGTTTAGAATCTCTATAGATGATAAAATAATGTGCTTTAAACCCTGGAGTCGTAGACTGTGGTCTCTATTTAGCAAGTCATAAACTTTATTGCAGTGACACCAGCATGAAAATATTGCACAGTAAACATGGTGCGCTTAGGAGAATTCCGGGCTGAGGGATTATGGCTATTACTTTTTGTTTATTGTGTTCCTATTCTCAATCTCAATCTTGTCTTTGGATATTAAGAGTTTTATTAAAAACTCTTAGTAAAAGTTAATTTCAGAGTTTTGATGTGGAGCTGAACATGTTTTCTATTTTTTTAAAGAATCTTTTTTACACACTGAACCTGACCTGTATGTTAATTGGCAAACAGTGTAACTTTTCTTTCTTGATGCCTTGATGGGTTTAATTATTGTATTACTGTATTTTCTTGCCATTTAAGACCTTCACATTGTGTCCTTTATTTCTTTTCCTTTCTCTTCTCTTCTTTCTTTTTTGAGATGGAGTCTTGCTCTGTTGCCCAGGCTGGAGTGCAGTGGCGTGATCTCGGATCACTGCAACCTCTACCTCCTGGGTCCAAGCAATTCTCATGCCTCAGCCTTGAGAGTAGCTGGGATTACAGATTCACCCCACTACACCCGGCTAATTTTTGTATTTTTAGTAGAGACGGGGTTTCGCCATGTTGGCCAGGCTGGTTTGGAACCCCTGACCCCAGGTGATCCACCTGCCTCGGCCTCCCAAAAAGCAGAGTTCATTATTTCATTTGTATGCCCCAGTTCTGGTTTCATTTTGCCCCAAACCCTTCTGAGGGTAGCATTCTGCTGACATTTTATCCACGTTATTAACAACGGGTTTTTGGACAGAACTGGCTTCTTTTTGTTTTTGTTACTGTTTTTAAAATCATATTGCTGTCCTTATACATAATACTCCTTGGAACAGAAAAGCAGCAGTATAAGAAGCTCTTTGAGAGAGAGAAGGTGGACTTTGGTGGACTCTGGGGGTCATGCAGGGTGTTTGGAGTTGGTGCACTGTTAGCTTGTGGAGCGGATGGTGTTCCATCTTCAGGACTCCATGAGGCCAGGCCTGGGATGGGGTGAGGAGCTGACTGGATGGCCCCTGGTGATGCCTTCCTGGGGCCTCTTCTGGTCTCTGAATTCCTAGAGTCCCACTTTCTCCAAAGGCCCAGTGGGAATCAGATGCATTCACTGCTTCAGCTCTGTGCAGTCTTAGGCTCTCAGTGGAGGTCTTTGGGCTCAACCTGTAGTAAATATTTGTTTTCTCTGGCTGTCTGCAATCTATAGTCTTGGGTGCGGTCCCTAAAAGCCAGCTTTTGGGCACTTTTTGAACTGCAATAGTGATTCCTCCTTTCAGTTGTTCTACAGTCTGGCAAAAGTTCTTATTTTGTTCTGGGCTTCAGTCTTATTTAATAACAAGAGAAAACCTTTATTTTTAATAATAACATGAATTTTTATGACTTACACTTTGTAACACATTTTAATTTGTCATTTCATGTAATTCTTTCATTAAATTTGTAGGGTTAGTAGAAATAGTAGAATAAACACACAATGGGAACTTATTAAATATTTGGTAAATGAATGAATTGAACCCATTTTACTGCTAAGGAAATTGAAACTCAAAGAGATCAAATGATCTGTCTAAGGCTCCACAGTCCAGCAGGGACTCACGTGCGATTTTTCCCATGCCAGACTGACTCTGATACGATATCTTACATACTATTTGTTACTCTTTCTCTGGATCTTAGAAAGGTCCTTTGATTCTCTAAGAAAAGGTAATAGGACAATGCAAATGTATGGATATACCATCAAAGGGGTGGAAGGGGTGGTTGAGGCCTGTCTACCGCTCTGTATAGTTCTTTCCTACGTTCCTGACTCTGCTAAAAACTTATATCCTTAAGGATATGACTATTTAGATACATTCCTTGTTGGAGATAAGAACACAAGTTCATTGCTGAATCATGGTTTGTGTGTGTGTGTGTGTGTGTGTGTGTGTGTGTGTGTATATATATATATATATATATAAAAGAGCGCACAAGTTCATGCTGAAAAAAATGGTCATTTTGGAGTTTTAATATTTTTTGGAAGTTTGGGCGTAAAACTCTGCACATCTCAGGGGAAGTTAATTTCAGAGTTTTGATGTGGAGCTGAACATTTTCTCTAGCTTTGTCTCTTGGGGTACTGGAAGGAGTCATGTAGTGCCGTCATTTTGGGGTAATCCTGGTGTGTAGGAATCAGCAGTCACTTGGCCTACAATTGTCATTACCACCTGCCCCCGCTGCTGGAGGAAATGTCACCCATATCAGTTCAGACATTAAAATAATAAGAAAAGAGCCAATTGTTCTAGCCAAACCCAGAATTAGGCGTTAGGGTCACACCTATGTCCCAATAACATCCATCAGCTTGCTAGAGATGTCCTTTAACTGGGGACACCAGGAACAGAGAGAAGGAAGGGAAATTTCCCTGTTAATTCTAAAGCTAATTAGAGAGGAATGCCAAATGGGTGTTCCCCTAAGGGCCTTTCGCTTTGACTTCTGTAACTGGAGATTCAAAGCTTTGGCTCTGGATTATGTCCCAGAGAAAAGCTGCAGAAACAACTCTGGTAACTTCTTTACTGAACTGATCCTCTTTGCCGCTCCAATGTGCAATTATATTGCCGCATAGATAGTCTCAAACCTGTCAGTCTTTTTTGGAATGGTTTTTGTGTCTCATTGAGAAAGGACTACCTCGAGTGAAGATTGTAAAGATTTACTTTTATATTTGCTTTTGAAACTTGTATCGTTTTTGTTGCTATCACATTGTTTGCATTTAGTGCCGTCATCCATCTGAAGTATATTTTTGTGTATAGGTAAGGCAGATCTGATGTTCATGTTTTCCACTTTAGGTACTAGTTTTTCCTCTACTTTTTTTTTTTTTTAAATAAAATTTTAGCTTCAGGATCGTTTTAGATTTATAGAAGCATTGCATAGACAGTACAGAGAGTTCTTGTACACTCTGCTCTCCTGCTTTTTGATTTGTTCCTGTGCTTTGAAAGGATATTTTTACCTGGTCCTAAATTCCAGCAGGTACACAGACAACTTTCTACAACCTCATTTTTATTCTATTGGTGATTTGCTATTTCTGCTCCAATGTCACATGTTTAATTATTATTTCTAGAGATTTCATAGCTTTTGCTAGGAAGTCCAAGATCTCACAGAGCTTTTAAGAGGTCAAATTCAGCCTTCAGGCAAGTGAACTAATATCAACTCTGTAGTTGTTGCCGCTGAGGTAACCTGCCCAGAAGTAACACAGCTGCTACATAGGGAAGGGAGATGATCTCTGGGCACAAGTTTTGGACACAATAGCAAGGACCAGGCTTTGGAGTAGGGTTTCTTCAGCTCAGTACTATTAACATATAGGGACTGAAAGTTCTTTGCTATTGTGGGGTGCTGACCTGTGCATTGTAAGATGTTTATCAGCATCTCTGGTCTCAACCTACTAGAGGCCCCCCATTTCGTGACACCTTGAAATGACAACTCATGGCAATCAAAAATATTTTCAGACACTGCAAATATTCCTAGGAAGGTTAAGCCTCCCCTGGCACTCCCCCTGCCTCTCCAGTTGAGAACCACTGCTCTGGAGGCAGGCTGAGTGTTAACCTTGGCTCTACTGTTTAATAACGGTGTGCCTTCATTTTGTCAATAAAAAATAGCCAAACTCTGTAAAATATTTAAAGAGATTTATTCTGAGCCAAATATGAGCGACCATGACCTGTGACACCGCCCTCAGGAGGTCCTGAGAACATGTGCCAAGGTAGCCCAGGTACATACAGGTTTTATACATTTTAGGGAGGCATGAGACATCAATCAAATACATTTAAAAAATACATTGGTTTGGTCCAGAAAGGCGGGGCACCTCAGAGTTGGGGGCTTTCAGGCTATGGGTAAATTTAAACATTTTCTGGCTGACAGTTGAGTTTTTCTAAAGACCTGGGATCAACAGAAAGTAATGGCTGGGTTAAGATGAAGGATTGTGGACACCCAAGTTCTTATTTGGAGAGGAAGCCTTTAAGTACTAGGGTTTAGAGAGAATAGGTTGTAAAACATTTTTTTTTTTTTTTTGAGACTGAGTCTCGCTCTATTCCCCAGGCTGGAGTTCAGTGGCACGATCTCGGCTGAATACAACCGCCACCTCCCGGATTCAAGCGATTCTCCAGCCTCAGCGCCCTGAGTAGCTGGGACTACAGGCAGGTGCCACCATGCATGGCTCATTTTTGTACTTGTAGTAGAGATGGAATTTCACCATGTTGCCCAGGCTGGTCTCGAACTCCTGACCTCAGCTGATCTACCCACCTCAGCCTCCAAACGAGCTGGGATTACAGGCATGAGCCATGGTGCCCAGCCAGTAAGATATTTCTTATCAGACTTAAAGTCTGTGTTGATGCTAATGCTGGAGTGGTATAATGAGGCATGTTTGACCCACTTCCCATCATGGCCTGAAACAGTCTCTCAGGTTACATTTTAGAAGAGCCTTGGCTGAGGAAGAAGCCCATTCAGATGCTTGTTGGAGAGGGCCTTCAAATCTTGTTTTTGGTTTACAATTTCCTCCTGTGTAAAATGCTAACAACAATAGTCCCTGTCTCCTAGGATGGTCATGAGGGCCAAATGAGCTAATTAATCACACAAAATGTTCAGAACAGACTCTGGTAGAGAAGACCTGAGCTCAGTATTAACTGTTACATTATTTAAAAAATCCTTTATATTTGATCTCACTCCTGATTATCCCATAGACTTCCCATTTTTCCTACACCTCCGTATCTTCTCCACAGTGGGGCAAATATTTTTAAATCACAACAATATGCACCAAAACATTACATGTCTATGTTAATGAAATGGAGCTCTATTTTCAGGGCTCTGTAACTGCTAATTAATCAGCTCCCATGATAAATTCATCTGACTGTGTGTGAATTTTATTTGCAGCTGCAGAACAGCAATTCCAGTTAGTTAAAAGGCCTTTAAGTGACAGTCCAGCTCTTTGGAGCAGGAGAAAGGCCCAGAAATGATTTTCTGAGCAAGATGGTAATGACAGTGGGAGATAAAAATCTGGATAAGGAGAAGACTGAGGATTTACTTGATTCATTAACTTAATGACTTTGGGAACGCCGTGTTCATTTACCATTAAAACACACCATCATCTTGCAATTCAGAGGGGGATGGATGAAGATTCGTCTTCTAGCAATTCGTGTTACTTAGTCACCCAGAATATTTTTCTTTTGTTTTGCTTTTTGAAGCAGCAACTATTGTAAAACCATTATGTTTGTTATTAAGCCTGCCTGAGAGCCTTTCTCCTGGGGATGATTATTTCTAATGCGTAAGAGCTGGTTGAGGATGGCAGATGTGGGCTGTCTCTACCTTTGTCCTAAAGGCTCAATTCCTTCTTCCAGTGAAACCAGCTCTTGGTTTGATGAAGAGAAGGAAGTGCCTTGGCCTGAGCGGTGAGGACTATAGTCAGGCTCATTAGTTTAATAACTTGGTGATGCTCACTTAATTCACGTAGTCAGTATGGCAGAGTCGTTGGAAGCCTGGGTTCTGGAGGCAGAATGATTAAGCTGAAAACCTAGTTTCTTAACTTGCCAGGTGTGTTGCCCTGAGCAAGCTGCTGAACCTTTCTGAGCCCAATTTTTCTCATTTATAAAATGATGGTGATCATTTTACAGTCAACATCATTTTATAATCAATCAATTTATGACCATTTTATAATCAATCATCACTAAATATTCATAATAAATAATAAATAAATCTCACAGTTTTATTATGAATTTTTAGTGAAAGAATTCTTTTAGCCTAACACATAATAAGCATTTAATACATCTTAACTATGATGATAACTGTTATTATTCATTTGAATCCCTCCCATGAGCCAGGCGTTGTAACGATAGAGGACACATCCAGATCAAATAAGACATTTTGAGCTTCCAAAGAGTTTATTCCCTGGAGATTGGAAGGAGAGGATTGTTTTCACAGAGGTAAGCATCTAAGGCTGTGGAGTGGGGAGGGAATTGGAGAAGCTCTTTGGGAGGTGGTGACCTTTACGGAGGGAGACCCAGGGACTGGTACCTGAGTAACTACAAAGGGAATGGACCTCAGACATAGGCAGGGCTCATTCACATAGAGACAGAATGTCAAGACCATAGAAACAGGGATATGGAACTTAGAATATTCTCTCCAACCCCAGATAGAAAACAGTTACCAAGTTTGAAATGTATAGGTTGGAAGACCTGAGAGAAATGTATTGCCTTTTTCTGCTTAGTGAATCTAGCTATCAGTTTCTGCGACTTTAAGCATGTTTTGCGCTAGGCATCTGACTCCCAGCCGACTGGGCCCCAGAGCCTAGAGGTGCCTAGCACAAGGTGCATGGGCAATTATTTGTTTGGCTATTTGTGTTTAGTAGCATTTCTTTTCACCTTGCAGGAACTCACCTCTGGGTTAAAAGGGGAATTTGTTTTATGGAAAGGGTTAGAAAAGTTCAATACTGGAAGATCATCTTATAGCTTCTTCTTGGCAAAAATTTGTTGACCCAAAAGTGTTTCCAGGGTTGCTGCAGCCTTCCTCCTAAGGCAGTGCAGAGATCTAAATGAGATAATTATGCAGACTATTTAAAAATTTAAAAAAGTACCACATTAGGTACTACATAATTTTTTTTATAGCTAGCATATAAAGCAATTTGGATGTATTTCCTTTATACCTTTTGAGAATGAACTGAAAGACCAGGATTAATTTAGCTTTGAATGGATATCAGATTTGTAAACTTATATTAGGTAGGTCTTTCTTAAAGTCTCTCCTATTGAAAACCAATTCCTTTATTCTAACTCTGTACAGCAAGAGCAAAGTACCACACTAGTATTTTTCGGGTGAGAGCTGGCAAAGTCATATTTACAACAACTTTTGTGTTCCTTCATAATTTTCCCTCATATGGCGGGAAAAATACATAAAAGGAAAGGGGGTAAATTCTTGGAAATGGAAGCAAACAGTTTCTCTGTCACAATGCACCATGACCAAATGAGGTATGGGATTTCTTTTCATAGGACAAGTTATGCATTTGCCCAACAGAGTTACACAACAGACTCTGTCTCAAAAGAGAATTCAGTTTTTTATTGATCTAATGCAACTACAGTTTTCCTGGGCTGTGCACAGGGGAAATGATCATAATGGATAGAGCAGTCATGCTGACAAATGTAGATGCTCAATGGTTAAAAGACCTTCATATTGCTCTTTAGTTTTCATGTTTTCTGACTGCAAATCTCATGAAGTTGATAAAATGGCTCATAGCACAAAGTATGTCCTGGTAAATAGGAGGCAATTACTTTGCTGTGTTGCTCTGTCCTGTTCCCCATTCTGGCTGAGGAATGGCTCCGACTGTGCAGTTTAAGTTTATTTTGGCTTGGCTGCTTTAGCAATGTGGGAACAAACTAGTGCCACATTGGAGATATAGACTCTGAAGAACTGGAGGTTTGAGGGTCTGGGTGACCAGGGACAGGTTGGGGGTTAGGAACAGCAAGGGAACCAATGGCTCACCATTCAGATCGTCACTCGCGTGATATCCAGCTTTCCATGCAGTGTGGTGACTGGGAGACTGTGGGAGGTTATTTGAAAGATACTGTGGCTTTTGAAATGGAGTATGTCAGTCAGTCAGAGGATGAGAAAGATGGGAAAATGACTGAGGATGGGAGGGGAACTTTCGGAGGTCAGAGAGAGGGAGTGGCTAATCATAATAAAAGCATAAAATTTGTTATTATAAAATAATTACTCCATAAGTGTTTTCTGATTGTCTACCACATACCATGCACTGCTGCCATGGGATGGGGTTAGAAGAGGCCAAAAATGTGATCTCTGCCTTTGAGAATTTCACAGTCTCACAAGATTTGCACTAATGGTTGCAAGACCCTGCAGGATCATGTTAAATTGCGTGATGGGATGACAGATGTGTGGGACGATTTCTTACTCTCTTCCCAGCTGTTTTCCACATTCAGTCAGAATATTCAAAAACATGCAACCTGGATTACATTTCTTCCCTGTTTCCTCTGTCTTCATTTAAGGTCAACTCCAAATTTCTCAGCAAGGCCAACATGAATTGGCTCTTGCCTGCCTGGGCCTCCCTGTCCTCATGCCATCCCTGGTCTCGTTATTGACCTCAGTAGAGGGGTCCGTCTCCGTCCTCACCAGCGTGCTGGTCACATCCTATTTGTGACTGTTTGGTCATTCTGTTCCCTGCATCTGGGACTCCCTTTTACCTGGTCTTCAACAGACCGCTGTCTACTTATTCTTTAAGGTTTCTCCTTAAGTGTTATTTCTTTCCAACTACCAGGTGCTTCATAGAATCTTGAGCTTTTCCATTGGTCTCATTTATCACATTTGGACTCACTTTTTTGTGTGATTATCAGTGAGATTTCAGTCTCCCCTGTGTGGTGATCTCCATGGACCATGCTGGTCTCGTCTGTGCTGCAATATCAGCATCTAGCACAGGCCCGACACACACAGCAGGTGCTCTGTCAGTCAGTGATGGGTGAATGGATGAGCAAGGAGAGGTTCCATTGGGTCGGTGCAGTTGTCCTTTCAGAGCATTTTGTTGCTTCTCCTGGAGTGCTTGCTATGTTGAATTTAGCATCCTGTTTGTCTACCCTCACACACTGGTAAGCTTCCAGAGGGCAGGGACTGGATCATCATCTTTTCATCTCTAGCACCTGGTTCACATAGGAACTCAGTGCAGGTTATAGGGTGAAGGAAAGAATAAACTGTATGAATGGAGGGGGCCTTATCTGGGTTTTAAAGCACGCCTGGGGATGAGGGTGAAGGAAAAGTGAATTTAAGGATCCAAAATAGCAGTGGGAGCTGGGATACAAAACAAGATTAAGACGGGGGCTTTCAAGGGCTGGTCTCGAACTCCTGACCTCATGGTCTGCCTGCCTTGGTCTCCCAAAGTGCTGGGATTACACGCATAAGCCACCACACCTGGCTGGGTTTTGTTTTGTTTTAAAGCTGAAAATCTGCATTAGAAAAATACCGGATAGTCACCAGACACAACATGACAGGATGTACTCACACTACAAAGATTGGAGGGTTGAGTGGGGAGGAGGCTTGGAATTTCCCCAGCTGAACTTTATACCTTGAACAACATCTGTCTTTCAGAGCTTGCTGCTCTCCTCAGGAGTTTTATACATTCAACAAATTTTTATCAAGCACCAATTCCTTCCATGGGGAAGGTATGCCTCCCTTCGAAGAGCATGAAAACTGGCCCTTAAGGGGCGAAAAAAACCTCTTACTCTCTTTATGTGTAAAGCACAAATATACATATAGTATTTGTAGACATATAGTATATCTGTAGTGTTAACATTTCATAGTGGGGGGGGATTAGCAAAAAGAAAAGTCTGAAAAGGTTCCTTAGAAGGATGATAATGAAAAAACATCGAGAAACTGATCTACGCTGTGCCATGCATTCTTCTGGTTCAAGTGCCACTCCCATGAAGCTTTCATTCTTACGAGGCAGAAGGGCAGTAAACAAATAAGCAACTGTAACTATGAACTAATAAATTCTATGACGCAGAAAAGCAGGCAAGGGGCTGGAACGTTTGGGGGATGGGTGGGGCATGTCTGTGGATCCTTTAGGTAGGTTGGTGACAGATGGACTCTGATGAGGTGATGTTTGAGAAGAGCCTGGAAGAAGTGAGAGGTGAACAGTGGAAATATTTTGGGAAAGAGCATTCCAGGGAGAGGTAACAGCTTGATGCAATTAGGAAAAGCAAGGAAGCCAGGTGGGCAGGAGTGGATGGATGAAGGAAGGATGGTGGAAAATGAGGTTGGAGGTAGAGGCAGGAATCGGATGACATGGGGTCTTGTGGGCCATGCTGAAGGGTTTGGGTTTTTTTCTCTGTGTGATGGAAAGCTGCTGGAGAGCTTTATGCAGGGGAGTGACATGATTTGATTTAGCTCTCTTTTTTTTTTGAGATGGAGTCTCAGTCTGTGTCCCAGGCTGGAGTATAATGGTATGATCTCAGCTCACTGCAACCTCTACTTCCCAGGTTCAAGTGATCTTCCTGCCTCAGCCTCCTGAGTAGCTGGGATTATAGGCACCTGCCACCATGCCCAGCTAATTTTTGTATTTTTGTAGAGATGGGGTTTCACCATGTTGGCCAGGCTGATTTTGAACCCTTGACCTCAGATGATCAACCTGTTTCGGTCTCCCAAAGTGCTGGGAATACAGGCGTGAGCCACCACAACTGGCCTCTTTTTTTTTTTTTTTTCTTTAATCGTTTAAATTCTGGGATACATGTGCAGAACATGCAGGCTTGTTACGTAGATATACATATGCCATGGTGGTTTGCTGTACCCATCAACCCATCATCTAGGTTTTAAGTCCCACATGCGTTAGGTGTTTGTCCTAATGCTTGAGTTCCCCTTGCCCTCCACCCCCCAACAGGCCCTGGTGTGTGATGTTCCCATCCCTGTGTCCAACAGCTTGGCTGAACTGTGAGAACACATGGACATAGTAGCGGGGCTTAGGAAAAAGAAAAGTCTGAAATAAGGCCCCTCTGGCTGCTGTTTGGAGGGTGGACTGCAGAGGTAGGAGTGGGATCAGGAGACCTCATTGTTGCAGGTCTCTTAGGTGGGAGCTGATGGTGGCTTGGGTGAGGGTGAACAGTTAGACTCTAGGCGTACTGTGATGGCAAAGCTTGCAGGACCTGTAGAGAGATTGAATAAAAGGACTCCTTTCTACCAGCTGCTGGCCTCTCTTGTGAAGGCCAGGCTGAGCACATATTTATCTAGCATTCTGCAGTTACTTATTTTTCACTTTGCCACCTTATCTGGTCTTTGAATTCCTTTAGGGAAGAAACCATTTTTGTTTATGTCTCCAGGAGTGAGACAGTGGCGTTGGGGGGTTAGAAGTGGTGGTCGTATGTGCTAGGTGGATGTTTTAACTGCTGCTCCTCCTCCTCCTCCTCCTCTTTTTCCTTCTCCTCCTCCTCTTTTTTAATCAAGCGAGGATGGCAGTGGCATTTTTTTATGGCTTTTTGAGAGTGAAGTGAGATTTGCATGAAAGTGACTTGTTGGCTAGCGCGGTGTCTCACGCCTATAATACCAGCGCTTTGGGAGGCTGAGGTGGGTGGATTGCTTGAGCCCAGGGATTTGAGACCAGCCTGGGCAACATGGCAAAAGCACCTAAGTCGGAGCACTTTTTCCCCTTCCAAGTCTTGGTTTTCCTTCATGTGGAAGAGAAGGCAATGCTTACTTAAAAAAGTGGCAACTCTCAAGTAATTTACATTGGATTCCAAGTGTAAACGGCCACATTGAGGGTGACGGAGAAGCCATTACATGTCACTTGAAGGAAGTAAGTGTCTCTAGTGAATCATGATGAGTAAACGGAATTGGTGCTGCAGCATGAGCAATACAAGACGTTTATATAGTAATCACCAAATTGTGTGGATCCAACCAGAATAAAAAAATGCCTGAGCTTTGGCTTAGGGCCATGGCTGAACGGGAGCATGAAGCCTGGCACGGAACAGAAGGAACGAAAGTATGGATGTAGCACAGTGATAGACATAAATAGATGCAAGTTTAAGCAAAGATGAAAATGCGTGGCTGCCGCTTTTTCCCTCTGCACTCACGGCAGGCTCAGAGCTGGAATTAGAACAGTGGCAGCCAGACTCCAGCGCCCGTTGTCTAAGCATTACACTTTGCTGTCTCCAGATATGCCCACAAGTTACCCCAGAATCCTTCTACCTGTACATGAGTTCCCTCTGGCTTCTTTAAGATGGTGGGGTTCAGGTTTATTTTACAAATTCAACACTACTTTTGTGCATCTGCCGTGTGCCAGGCACAGTTAGGTGCCACGGATGCAGTCGTGAATAAAACATATCTCGGTTTGGGGCTACAGTTAGTAGAAGCAACACTTCTTGTTTAGGACTCTCAGTGATGGGAGGACCCAGGAAT